TTTATTCCATTTTCAATTTGCGGTTCTTTCATTTAAGAACAATCTCACATCATTATTGTTGATTATCTGCAGATGAGGATTTGTTCTGATTTCTGAAGCTCGGACGTCACAAACTGCAGCTGTGCAGCCAAACACGGTTCAAACCTCCAGACGAACATACGTGTGAGCGAATCACAGGATTTAAGAGGATGAATGATCTCAAACCACATCGTCTGAGCTGAATAAAATAAATGTAGAATGATGCTCATCTAAGATTTAAGGTGGATGTCTTCATATTTTTTTTTAGGTTAATTATACATCAAATTTAAATTAAGCAAATATTCTTTCATCACATTCGACCTCATAAACTTCCTCTAACTCAAACCTTCCTCACGTTCATTCTTTCTGTTTCTGCTTGATCCAACACAAGCTTCTATCTTCAGTTCACACTGATATAAAACAGATCCTCACATTTGAGAAGCTGGAACCAGAATATCTGACGTTTGATAAATGACTTTTATTACAATGAATCAATCAATAAAATATTCTTCATCATTCTTTGTGATTGTGAATTTAAATTTCAAACATTTTCATTTCCACTTCATCAGCGTCTTTTTTAGACACATTCAGATTCGTACCAAATATTTTAGCTTTGGAAAACTTTGTTTTGCACACGTTTCGTTTTGAAGGTAAAAATGTTTGTGTGTTGTGTGTGTGAGTGTGTGTGTCTGCATGCATTTGTCTGTGTGTGTGTGTGTGTGTGTGTTTCATTTTGTGAAATACTTTGTGAAAGACGCAGATTGAATAAAAAATGAAATGATAGAGCAGCTGTTCCATATTTATTACACGGAATGCACTTAAAGAATGAACACAGAGGAAATCTGTGTGTGTGTGTGTGTGTGTTACATGTCTGAGCACGCAGCAGCAGCAGTGTACCAACTGTTTGTGGTTTTTGCTTTTGCTTTATTTATTTATTCATTTATTTATTTGTTCTCTGGTGAGCGGGATTACCTCTGAATTATGGAACAGTCCCCTTTCTCTCCTTAAGTAAAAAATAACATCTGTCCGGCAAATGGAGAGCTTAGTGTTTCTCTATAATTAATGGTAAAAGCCTCCAGAGCCGCACATAAAATATACATTGTCCACGCAGGACCCCCATAACAAAGAGGGCGAGAGAACGCAGAGAGAGAGAGAGAGAGAGGAAGAGGAGGGGGTCAGTGAGACGAGAGGAAGAAAAACAGAAGCAGAGAGGAGAAGAAAGAAATCGGTCAGTGTGTGACAGCAACACACCAAGCTCAGAATAGATTTCTGACACTGTTCTTGGTTTATTTCCAAAATAAGAACAACTTTAATGATTTGTGTTCAAAGGTGATTTCTGGAAATAACGAAGTGAATTCTTTAAATAAAACCAGATGAAAACTCAACTCAAGTGAAGTTTAAATGACATTTTCCTCCCACTGTCCAGGAGTGAAGCCAAAATATCCCAGAGGGTCGTTACAGCCTTAATCTACATTTCAGTTTTTCTTCCGTTCTTAAATCTTCATCTTGAGTTTTTAAAGCTTCATTATTTTAATTTGAATGGAGTTCTGTAATAACAATAACATCATGTACTGACATCGTCACAGCTCATTTTCTGTATTGACTGAAACAGAAAAATGATTTGTCTGTGGAAAGTAAACACACACACACACACACACACACACACTGAGGATGTTTCTGTGTGTGTGTATCTGCTCAGTTATTTGTTCCAGATGTGAAACAGCTGCAGTTTGTAAATGTTGTTTTTATACACGTACAGAGGAGAATGAAGGTCTGCAGTGACCTCTGCTGGTCACAGTGTGTCAGAGCAACACTCTCAATAATCATTTGTTCATAAGATCTCATGGAAAATTCATCTGGAAAAATATTCATTACGTTTTGTTATATTTAACTATTTCACCACAACCTCATTAC